ACTCCTTTGAGATCTTTGGCTTACAAAGGGTCAGGCATTGAGGAAATGGTGCCAATCTATCCCCTCTAAAATCTGATTCCTTTACCACTAAGTTGATACAACTAAAGATGTTGGACAGGAAAATTGAGACAACTAGAATTACAGGTCACTCTTGAAAAGATAGGTTCCTATTCTCATTGGCACGTGGGCATGGCATCTGCGTATGGAGAGATGCTTCAACTTAGTCTGTTCCTGTGGAAATGTTGTGTTGAAGGGCAGAACTAGCACTATGTGCTGCCTAGTGAGGTGTGGGAGGGCCAGCGTGGGGTCTGGCTGTGACCTGCCCTGCCTCTGGAGTCAGCATTCAGCAAGGTCTTGGACAGCTTGGCTGTTCAGTGCTGAACTAACAAACAGGATTTGAGATACCGGAATAAAGTTTTGCTTCAGGGATAAAACACTACAAGGGAGGTTTTATTTCCCTGTTTATCTTTTACTTTCTAGTGCACTTGTAGAATGCAAAATTGCTCTAATGTCTGTATGGGATTAATTCTTTCCACAGATCATCCATATGTTTCACAATGTTGGCATTGCAGTCCTTATAGCTGGGTGTCACTGTGAGTATAGTCTGTGTTTACTAACATTGACTTATCTCCAAGTATAAGTTCTAAACTGAATTGAGATGTTTTAGCTGTACTGCTTGGTGTGATTTTGCTGCTTTATTTATTTTCGCCCATTTTTCGTAGCCTCTGTGATAGAAGACTTTGAGAAGAATGGTTTCTTTGACAGCCATGTCACCAAAGAAAGGTTCTTTCTAACTGTTCATGCTGCTGTGCTGGCTGCTTTGGACAAGCATGGAAAGCCAGATGAGCTAGAACCTACTGCGAAACAGTTTGCTGAAGAACCACTAGCTGAACAGCAGAAGGCAGACTATTTCGCTTAACATTTAAGCCTTCATGTTGTTAAATTGTCCAGTCAGTGACTTAAACCTTGTCATGTGGCTGAGGAAGTAGGGCAGAGCAGATGCTCTTTTGAATTCTCCAGTTTTTCACAGGTACTTGCCTTTTTGCAATGGATCGATAATCCAGATTGTTTCTTTGAGTCCTGTGTTCCTGTTTGGGGAAAAGTATTTTTGTGTGCTGGCTGGAAAGGCATCCAGCTGAGTTTTGCAGCAGGGAATGACTTTGTTGTATTTTAAATTGTTTCCATTTCTCTGACAGAGCAAGGACGCTGCCAGGGCAGAGCAAAAGCTCCAAGCTTTTTCTTTGTAGAGGTTACTGCACCAGCTCCCTTGGCGCTGACGGGGGAAGTGAAAGGACAGTGCTAGCTTGATTTCCTGAAGAACTGAAATTCATGCACATGCTCTTTCTGTCAGTACTCTGCAATAATTTTTAAGCTCACTGGCTGTCTCAGCCAAGTTTGAATAGGGCAGACGGTTGCAAGTTCCAGGAAAAGCCCTTGTTCTGAGTAGAAGATTCCAGTAATTGCCCCACCTAGGGCAAGAACCCAGCCTTGCCTAATCATCCTATGCATGCCGCCAGGCTGGGGTCCTGTAGCTGAGGGAGGCAAGAATGAAGGCAGAAACCTAATCAAATCTGCAGGAAAACAGGGTTCTTGAGTTCTGCTGCTCATGGAACAACTTGTTTAACTCTCTTATCTTGGCATTGTCCAGAATAGTCTAATGCAAGGATGTTGACTCTACCCCATAGAAAAAACTTCAAAGAATGAAGGTGACAGCATACATTCACTGATCTCCCTTTAATGGATGTTGGAGGGGAGGGTTGGGAGCCGCTGCCAGGCAGGAGGTGACAATGGTTCCCCAGGAGGCTGGGCCAGGTGTGCAGATGGGACTCTCGGCGATGTCCCCGCTAGCTCATTTCCTCGGGGATCTGGACTGCCCCGTGCTCCCACAGCAGCATGGCCCACTCGCTGCTCACATGACTTTGCCTTGGCATGGGAACTGCGCTTGACCGGCTCAACAGAGTGGCCACCCTTGGCTAACAGTAATGTTTGTGTACGTTTCAGGAAAGAAGGTTGTTCTTGATGAAGAATGAAGATTTTTTCGCTGCAAAGAACTCTGACAACAAACTTTTGCTTGAAGAGCCGATATCAGATATCGCATGCTCAGCCCAGAATGAAGCAGAGCCAAGCTCTCTCCGGCAGTACGATACTCCGCCCCTTCAATCGGATTTCCAGGACCCAAGCTGGGGGAAGAGATGGAAGTACACCAGCAAGCCCTGAATTACAAGTGTTGGGGAACTGGGAGTACAGTAGAGAGGAGAAAGGTACAGTTAAACAACAGTTCTGTCAATTCTTACCAGCCTTTGAACGTCTTTTTATTTTTTCTGTTCCAAAGTTTTTAAAATAGACAGCCTAACTAATGCCTCCAGTAATTCTGAACAAAAAGCAACATTTATTTTACTGCTTTTTCAAGCATTTTCAAATAGATGTGCTACCCAGCAATGCCGAAAGCAGTGACATTTCAATGGATAATTCCTAGTTTTGTAGCTAATTCTAGCAAATTCTTTGCGTTTGTTTTCTGAAATTCTGTAGAAATTTACATGTCCTAGCTCAGCACTTCTTATACATTTTATTGTTTTCTAGTAAGTGAAATTAATCTGTCATATTTTAACAGCTTATATGCAGCCAGTTTCATTATTTTCAGATGTATTTAGAATGATAGGATGCTTCAAAGAAAACATTTTATTAGTACTCTTCAACACTTTGCTGAAGTTGATATCATCTGCACTAACATAACACAGTGTCCATCCATTATTTCTGCCTCAGTCCCTTTCTAATCCACCAGAACTAAATTCCAGTAAAAAATAAAATATTTTTTTAATGTTTTTGTAGTCCTTACTGAAACAGTGAAGAATGGAGGGGTGTATTGACTTTGTTCTGAAGAGGCAGAGAAATTGTAGCCTTGGATACAGTTAACACTTGGCAAAAAATCAACTTAGTTATATTTTCTGTAGATCAGCCATAGAATTTGACACAGTAATATCAGGACAGAGGTGTGAGCTAGGATTCCACTGAAAGCAGAAGCATTTAACTGTACCAGCAATACACATCAAAAGGCTTCATGCCCTCGTCTGGAGGATTATCCCATGGCACGAACTGCGTAATGTGAAGAGCTGCAGGTGAATTAATTTTAGATGGGTGGCAAGCACTGTGTCTATACACCATTCAGACCCTATTTTAGGGCAAGACTTGGCTTTAAATGGTGGATCCTTTGTGTACAAGTCCTATACTCTGGGCTAAATCGTTAACATGTGAACAGCTCTAACTTTTGCTGCTGGGCAATGCGTGGTTTCTGGATGTGCAGTAGCAGCAGGGAGGCTCCTCTGAATTCTGCTGCTCCTGGCTGCTACTTTTTAACAATGATACAACAGCTAATAGGAGTATTAATATTAAACTGTCTGTAATGTGTTCCAGTGAGTTCTTCTAACCTGTTTTTCATTTTTTTCATTTAAAATCTTATTGATTCCAAGCAGTTTCTGGAGGGAAGTCACAGTATTGCACCTGTAAACTGCAAGAGTAAAGGATTTTAGTGAACGTTACTGTGTAAGAGTTGCTTACTGTGGAGGAAACTGAGTCCTGGAACCCTCATACCTTTTGGATTGAAAGACAGGAAAAACTGAAAGCTGAAATGGTGTTGAGTAATTCTCAAACCACATATGCTTCCCTGCATTGTTTTGGGCAGTGGCTTCACGCCAAGCTCCTCTCAGCTCTGTTCAAAACAGAGTAATACAAAACCCAGGAAAAGCATAGCCCTGATTTCCCGATTCTGTTGGCTCTCCTACGGCAGCCTGGATTTAAGATGGGATGGCATGCCTAGCTGTTGGCACCATCGAAAGTCTCCATTGCAAACTTGAGGGTTGGGGTTTTTTTTGGCTTGTTCCGCAAACTTCTGAATCTTTCATTCCTACCCCCATGACTCTGCAGAGCTGAGCACCAAGGGACAACTCAGCCGTCAGTACGTTAGCATTTGTTGCAAAACAAATATCTTGCTGAGAGGAAGTCCACACAATCCTGATCGTTTTCCCTTATAGCGCTGCGGTGCCATAACTCTGCTCCCGCATGTGTACACGAGGCTTTTGCGGTCAGCCAAGCACAAGTCCCCGGACGCGGGCTGTGAAGTGACGGAGCACGTACTTCATGGCCAGGGACTCCACCTATACCTCTAAAAAGCCACAGAAGTCAGAGTTCAAAAGCCTCTGTCTGTAATCGTGCGTTTGTGGTCAGCTTGACGTTCTTACCTGACCTAGTTGCAACGATTGCTGTTGTTTTGTGCACACAGCAGCTTTTTTATGTCCTTCCCAGCTAGCGTGATGCCACGATGTTTTCCTGGCAGGGCACGCTGCAGAAACCCCGGCAGCTCTTCCACTGCTCTGAATTCCAGGATACAGATCCCCAAACACGCACGTTATCATTGCAGATGGTGCAAAGCGTGTATAACCACCCCTGACCCTGTTGTCTTTTTATTAACGTATTACTCCAGTGCAGAAATGGCTTCAGGAGACAGAAAGCAGCTGAGGAACCTCAGGAGTCACGCAGAGCGTGGCTGAAGCAGGGACCAGAGAAACCAGTTATGTATGAGCATAGTTTGGGGGTATTTATTCTGCTTTAAAAATTAGTGCCAGGCTGGTTGTGGAAAGATGAGTGTATCTTGGTGTAGGCCTGGCTCAGCAGCCCTCTGAGGGATGCTACCCCAGACTGTGTTTTTCCATCCCAAATTAGAAGAGTCCTGGGAGAAACTGGGCAAGCATGAAGACGCTCAGTAATATCTTGCTTCTGTAGGAGACCTCTGCATGAGGCTCCTCGTTCAGACAAGGGTGGCAGCTACTGTTGGAGGGAATATGATACCCATCTGCACGCTTGCTTCGCTGGCTGGCTTTCCAAATCTGGCTGCGTGTCGTCTTTGATGTCGTCACATGAAGAAACCCGGCCTAGGCCAGTGGAAATACAGAACAGAGCGGTCAGTAGGCGCGGCAGGTGTGAGCAGGTGCCTTGCTAGATCCAACCGCATGAGTCGTTTATTGCAAATACGGGACAGCAGGTCGGCTACCTCTAAATTGAGATTATAATCGCTTCTGGGGTCATTTTGTATCGTGAGTTCTTTGAGGCGGGAAGTTGCTGTGCAGTGCTGGGAGGGGGAGTCCATCGAGCTTCAGGTCTTTTCAGCAAAACGTTACCTTGAATGCCGCGGTTGTGCCCAGGCTGGAATTTGCCCCCCTCTGTTGCGTTATCATCACTAAATCGTGTGCTAGGTTCTGCCTTGGAACTCTGCAGGAGAGCGGACAGAGGTGCTGAACATCTCCTGCTTGTGGCGAGGAACACAGCAACAACGAGGAATTATGACAAGGATTTCTCCATCTTCTGGCACTGCGCACACCCCCCCCGGCCTATCCACAGAAATATTTACACCCCGATGCCGAGGGGCCCTGCTCTCGGGCACGCTTCAACACACCGTGTCCCGGCCCTCAGAAGCAGAGCAGATGCAGCAGATGGCCACGAGTCCCCATGCTGGCTTCCCAGCTGGAACTGGGGGAGAATCCCAGAGAGAAACCTGGCAGAAAAAATAGACAGTAACAGAGCCGGGGCGGTCTAGGAGCGGAACAGCATTAAGCAAAACTGCCGATGGGAACAGAACCGGCCAACGCTCCGAGGTGAGTGTGGTGAGTGACTTCACGGACCCCAATCTTGTGCTCGATCAGAATCATTTTACTGCTCAAGCGAATACCTTCTATACTAACACAATAGTTACTAGAGCCAGTCAGCTTTGGGTTCGTGGCTTTGTGAATGCCAGTTCACGGTTGCTGTTTTCCAGGATCTTTTGCAGCTGGATGTGTGAAAACAGCTTATCCCATGAGAGCAGAGAAGGGAGGCGCAGGATGATCCTTCAGGGTCACGAGACAGTGCTGTTCTGTCTCAAGTTATACGGTTTCCCACAGTGAGCGCACAGCCACCCTGCAACACGGGTGAATGGCAGAGCTCCGAAGTTTGTCACCAGCGGCGCTGAGTCTCGTTGGAGGCCTATAACTAGTGGGGTTCCTCAGGGGTCAGTAGCTGGCCCAGTCTTGTTCAACTTCTTCATCAACGACCTGGATGAAGAGTTAGAGTGTACCCTCAGCAAGTTTGCTGATGACACCAAACTGGGAGGTGTGGTGGACACACCAGCAGGCTGTGCTGCCATTCAGCGTGACCTGGACAGAGAGGAACCTGATGGAGTTCAACAAGGGCAAGGGCAGGGTCCTGCACCTGGGAAGGAACAACCCCAGGCACCAGTACAGGCTGGGGCTGA